TTATTTCTCAATTTACAGAGGTTTATTTTATAGTTGGTGCGGTGTTAACACTCCAAAGTTGATGATTTATTCACTTTGTTAGGAAAATAATTTAATTCCACGCTAATTCAGAGCATAAATTGCTTGTCTTCCTATGTGTAAAGATACAAATGCGGCCGAGGAGGAAAAAAAACTACATGAGAGATCTATCTGAGAGTGAACTACACCTCATCAGACTAATATCCTTCTGCCGGCGAAGCTATTTTATTAAAGAGGGGGTACATATGAATAACACTCAGAGTATCATATATCAGCTGGACACTGCACATATGTGTATTTCTTCTATAACTGCAAACAACCAGTCAGATGACTCTGTTCATTCTCAAGTCAACAATCTTGATAGCAAAAACCTCACAGCAGCAGCAGCAGCAGCTCTGAGACTGATTATATCATGACACTGACCACCTCCACATGTCCACATTACAGACAAAGGTATTTGAAATGTGAACTTTGCCTTTGATGCCCCTCATTTAAGATGAACAGCTGATGGGTAATGACACTATGGGGCGACAGACAACGTCATACAGCCGTACATATCTACCAGATGTCTGTGTGTTAAAGGACAAAAATGCTCAAAGTGTATTTATATCTCTGTCCATCACTATGTTTATTTAGATGTTATTATTGCTGTTGTGTAATCCACCAAGACTACAGAGCTCTTTGAAATGACCGTACGTTGTGTGCTGTTATTGGCATAATATCACTAAAGCGCAGACTTTAAGCCAAAGGAACATTCAGAGAGTCTTTGAGATGTGCGTGAGAAGTTTGTAACCCTTCTTCAGGGTTCAGTGGGCTTTGGCTCGCAGCCTGGAGTCGTCAAACTCTGAAGGATGTGCAGGGGACTTTTGATTTCTTAAATATGAGGATAGTTTCTCTGAACACTCATAAAACTCACCAATATATTAGTGTACTGACGGTGCTTTTAACTTTTAATATGATTCCTAAAATAGAATTTCAATAAAAAGTATTCACCTAAACCAAAGTTGCTCAATGTCTTTGGCTTCTGAGCCTCTAAACAAAAGAAATGTATTTGTATTTAATAAACCCTGATTTTCTAAACGTTTCTATTGTTATTTAGTAAAAGTTTAACAAGTTTAATAAGTTTTGTTGTAGGGTTAATGACCAAGACTACAAAATGTCAGTACTTTTTTCTTATCTTCTTTTGCTTGTTAGATCAGTTGTGGCAGCCCTTGGGCGAGCCCTAGGTTCAGATATGTGGGTCTAAACATTAGATGTGTGATTGCAGATCATCTCCACCCTCCGCTGTATGAGATGTAAACTTTCTGTGGACATTGTTTTGTCAAGTATGAAGAGATAGAGAGCACAGAGTACATTAAAAATCCTTTACAGATCACGCAAAATTATTTTCTCTCATTTAGATCATTGTTATTCCCTGTGTACTTGCTTAAGTCAATCATCCCTACACTGCTTTCATCAGGTTCAAAATGCAGCTGCCACATCATGAAAACAAACCAGCTGTCTGTCTGTCACATGTCTCCCCCGTTCTTGTGTGCCTGTTTATTTCAGAATCTTATGATCCTGTTTATTACAAACAAGGCACTGCACGACCTAGCCTTCAGTCATATTTCTGATCTCTTTCTACATCCACTTCTTGTCCACTCTGATCATCTAACCTGGGCCTCCTTACATCCCCAGCTCAAGCTGCAAGACAAAAGTGATCGTACATTTGTCGTGTTTGCCCTCTCCCTTTAATCTTGCTTTGCGTTATCTTTGATTATATCTCTTCTTGTCAAGCACGGTGAGATCAAGTCTTTTAAAGTGCCTGTAGATCACAATTTACTGATCTGCATTTTCTTATTTTACTTAAGATGATATTATAAAAGCAAACTCTTGTTGTAGGATATAAACTGAATCCACATATTCATCATCGTTTTAATTGTTCTTTCTTTGCTTTGGAATTGATTGGATTTTCTTGCTGCATTTCATATTTTTACGACTTTCTGAAAAAAAAAAAGTTTCTACAGGGCCTTAGCTGGGTTGCAGGATACCTTGAATTTTACTGCTCCATAGTCTTAGCATTGAAAACCTGAGTTTAATAAGAACTCTGAATTTTCTCAAAGCTGAAAGTGACATTGTAGTTTAAGATAATGACCACTAGATGGCAGAGTTGCTCAGTTTTCAAGATATTCAATGTAGTATGATTACACATCTTTACAGACCTCTAATAATGAGAAAAACAGTGATTAGAGAGTGAGAGAAGAAGATTAATGTTTATATTTAACTTTTGTTTATATTTTTAAAAATAAAATTCTTTAAATGCAACATTTGGGCATCTTCATGCATGTTTGTGCCCAGATAACTGTTGATGTCAATGCTCAATTAGACCTTTGCAGAGACACACCAAGTGACACTAATGCAGCTTAAACGCTGTTAAGTCCTCAAAACAAAAATAAAATAAATTACATAAGCAGTGTCTGGCTTTTGATTTTTTTTTTTACATATAAAAAATTAATTTAAAAAAATGTTAACTGTTTGTGAAAAATAATTTAGCACTATGTCTTTAATCAAAGACAATATAATTGTTCAGAAAAATGAAAATGTAATGAAATTCTACCAAACTGAGCTCTACGCTGATTGAAAGGGCTGCACAGAAATAAAGTCTACCTCTAACATTTCACTCTCCCTCAATGCACAGTCAGAACAAAAGGAGGGTATCAGCCCCCCATATGATACCCCCCCAACTCTCTCCCTCCCCTTCTTCTCCCCTCCTCAATTTCTCCTCTGTCTAAATTTCTCTCACTGTGCATCTCTCCATCTTTTCCAATTCAAGTCAGACAGATGCCTCTCCGGAACTTCAGAGCCGTGGAGTGGAAGTGATGAAAGCCACAAGCCGGGTCCCACTGCAAGACCTTGGCTCCTCGTCTGCCAGCACAAACCCCCTCATTTAAGCAGCACATCCTGGAACTGGGGCTGCTTTTTAATTAAAGCCTTGGTGGATTGGGCGAGACTTAGTCGAGGTTGCGAGGGGAAACTTTAAAGTTGCACTTGACAGGTATATTTAAGTTCACCAAGTTTGACCAGATGGAGCATGTATATTGTATAAGTCTTTGAATACTGTGCTGTTGGTGGTGGTGGTGGAGGGGTGGAAAGAAATATATCAAACAAGCAAAAAAAAAAAAAAAGGAAAAAAAAAAATCACGGAGGGGGGAAAAGGAAGAAGGGTGGGTGCTGGTTGAGGGATGCATAAGGGGCCAGAGCAACTAGCATGGAGCAAGCGGAGCAAAGCCTTCTGGGTGGATCTTAGATGTTTCAGCAAGGAGCATCTCAGGATTTAATTCACAAAGAGCAGCAGTCTTATCTGGCGTCGGATAAAATAAGATGTTTGAAAGACTTAATTGTTAATATTCATCAATATGTCTAATTATGCGGAGAAAAAGTGAAAAATGCATTAGGAATTTCTCAGCAGATGACTGGATGCATCCCTGAGAGAAGACACTTCTAACGTGTCTTTTTATGATTCATTAATCTGTCTCGGCTAATCAAAGGGATCACAACATTGGACAAACAAACACGACTAAGTCAACTGATCAAAAAGAGCCCAGCATGAAGTATTGAACCGTGATCCCTCTGCAAAATCAGCTTTGGGAGGCACAAACATTCAGAGGGTTTGCTTTGGAGAAAAACACCCCCTCCTCCCCATCCTTCTCCTCCTTCTCCTCCTTCTCCTCCTCCTGCCATTTGTGAGCGTTCGTCATCCAAAATGAAAAGTTTTCAGTGTCACAGCCTCTCAGCAGGAGCAGTTTGTCTAAAAAAAAAAAGGTAGTGTTGAGTTTTTAAACTACCAACCTTTCATTCACTGAGTTTGAATAGGAATTTCTTGTGGGCATGAACAGATGTTGGACGGATAATAACGATGAATAAATCAGTGAAAACATCTCAGTGTCCACTTCTACGCTCTGAGTGTGGGAGCTGAAGCGCTTTCTGTTTGCTCCCTCTAGTGAATAATTTTAGAAATGACAAACTTGACACTTCATCATTAACAGGGAAGAGTCAGAATAGTTGTTACACCGGCAGAAGAAGACTTTCCTCCGTCTTTATGGTTGCTCTATCATTATTATGAAATTTCTATAATTTTTTCCCAATAAATACCCCCCAAATACAACATTTTACTGTATTTTCTGGATCTAAAGAGTCATTTATAACTTTCAGAATCTCTTCAGTCAGAGAAAATCTTAATCCCTCTGAGCCCAGTTGGTCAGCTTAGTTATTTCCCCACACCACGCACTTCTTATTACCCCTTGGCAATAACCCAGCACTTTCACTTTGATTTCATCATCATACTGGACCAGAGTAATTGGGAAATTTTAAGCTGTTGAGGAAGTTATTCTGCCGCCAACATATCCTATAGACGGGCTCTTCACTAAAGCTGTTTCTTTTTTTCCTGTGGTACACTTTTTATAGATTTTTATTAATTGCACCTATCAAACACTAACATCTACAGACTGTAGGGCACTTCTTTTTGTCAGATGGTCCTTCAGTGAGCGGTTAAGATTTGAAAGCACCAGGCAGCTCTCTTTTGCTTCTGTGAATTAATAATCAAAGAAAAAAGAGGAAGAAGGAGTGAGGCCTTCAAAAATCAATGGACCCATCAACAAAGCAGCGTGCCCTCCCTCACCTGGGTGACTGAGTGTGTGCATGTACTCATGTATGTGTGTGTGCCCGTGCCTGCGCTCGTTCATGCCTATGGCCATACGAGAAACACCATGTCCAGGGTGGGAAAGCGCTTGCACAAAAGCGTGCAATCATTCCAGCAGGTGTACATCTAAATCACCAGCAAGAGCAAACTTGTGCACAGAGACAGAGCTCTCTTTTGGGTTTGCTCCTTCTAAACACCAGTTGTCTCCTCCAATCAGTGTGGTCATGTCTGCATTATTGATACAGCAGGGGCCTGAGGGGCCCAGGCTCAGATGGTGCACGCGCTCTCAGAGTTCTCCTGTGTGTCTGGAGAGAGTCTGGTTCTTCTGAGAGCTCAGAGGTAAGCCAGGACAAAACTGGAATTAGGCCTAAAGCTCAAAACCTGAGCTGACTTATTCTGGTTTAACTGGAAATAAATGGTAGCAAGGCTTCTCATGGGAGAGTTGGTGGTCAGGGATTGTAGCAGACAGAGTGTTTTGGAGAAACACAGGGGAGAAATGAAGAGGAGAGGGAGAGCGTGCTGCATGGAGAAGAAGACGCATCTACTGTACAGAGGCAACGATAAGTGAAGGGGAACCACATTTTCAGACGGCTACACAAACTCCCATTCCTTTCAAAGCTGTTTGATAGTTACTGTGTAAAATAAGTAAGCATTCTACTGTTTATCTGTTCTATACTTATCTCATTATGTATTTTAAGAACTAGACTGTTTCACCTGATGATCAGTTTTGAATGTTCCTTAAAAAAATCAACTTCAGAATACAGATTAGCTGAAAAATCAATTTGAAAATACTTTTTAAGTTGGTAAATTTTTTAAATTCATTTCAAAAGGAAAACAGTGTAAAACATTTTCTGGAATCAGATCAGATGCTTTTTCCTTCGGGTTATGTAGTACTAACTTTGAAAACGCAAACTTGATAACTAAGATTGCCCCGCACGTTTCTTAAGGAGGAAATTTATCAAATTAACACACCAAAAAAGCTGGTTTCGTTTTTAGGAAATCAAATTGTTATGACTTTATTATACCAAATAGATGCTACATTTCCATCAGTACTGCAGTCCACTAATAGAATTCAAACAGTTGTTATATTCTGCAAAGACAGATAGAAATATTTATCTTAAACTCTTATATGAATCCTCCTTAAATAAAAGTAAATAATTCTGTAGTGGCTGAAAGTATCCGTGTTGTTTCACTCAGTTTTATTCTTATGATACTTCTTCAATCAACTTCAGGATGGAAATAACGAGACTACGCGTGTATATGCTTTAACGACAGTGGGAACGGTGTATCGCCTCCATCCTTTTCCTGAACAACTACCTCTCAATACAGAACAGTCAATCAACAGTCTGCCCTGACACGTACAAACGTAAGACACAAAATAAATTTTTAACCCTTATGTATTCTATACTCAATATGAACTGGACAAATGAAATTAAAATACAATACTATAAAATATGAATTCTGTATATTATTAATGTAGTCATTAAAACTTAAATTCTAAGCTTATATCATGAATGGAAAATGGCAGTAACAAATTCTTTACTCATATATTTTCCTTTTGATGTTTGCTGCCATTGTTCCCCTTTAGAAACTATTTCTTTCCCCCAAAACTTCAGGTTGTTTGGTACTTGTCAAGGCCTTCTTGTTTTTCATAGTGTATTTTACTGCAGATCTGCTCTATGAAACACCATCGATGAGTGGCAGAAGTTAACAGCACAGTGTTGTGAGGTTATGACATCTTGTTCTGGTCTTTTTCAAATAATAAAATGAGCTAATATGACAGACTAGAACTGAGCTAATGTGGTATTTATCTAGTACTACTTCAGGCCTCTAATAAATTGTATTGAACTACATCCAGTGTCACGTGTCACTAAGAATTATGTCTGTGCAGAAATAAGAAACAACAAATGACTGACTTACTAAATATGGGTTTAGATGCACACAAATCTAGGCCCAATAATACTAATATTATAGTACCATGCAATATTATAAAATATATACACCTGCAACACAAAACATGTGAGGAAAATTTAAGTATAGCAAGGTTAGTGGATGTCAAACTATTTATTATTCATTGCAGAAAAATTACAACATTTCTGCTTTGTTGTTACACATGAAAAATAAACTTTTTGTATAACTAAAGCTTTATTTATTTAATATGTGAAAGGCATTTTTGTAATTACTTTGATACTACCTTTAATGAGAAGGAAAGAGCACTCTCTTTTTGAAGAATAAAGATCTAGTTCGATGACCACAACACCGTGTTCATGCAGGCTAGGTCTAGGATTTAATATTTAAAGTTAAGGGGGCGATATTTATTCACATCTGTCATAAAGGAGCAGGGAATGTGGTTTACCTTGATGTGTTTTGATTTATTCTGCAGGCCCTGAGGTTATCCCCGTGAATTAGAGAGCATCAATAAGGAAAGAGCATCTCCCCTATCCCAAAAGTGATAATTACCAACATCACTATTGATCCAACTATTGATGCATTGCTAATTGTTTCTTGCAGTTATTTATTTAATTCTATCTCTGGCCATGTGAGTGTGTTGACCTTGTGCAGGAGGAAATATAAGGCTTGTTCAGAAGAGGAAAAACACACATTAAGATTCCACTTTAAAGCCTAAAACAGCGAGGACTTTTTTTCCGCCCTTTCCATCTGATGGAGGAACCTCGGTTATGATCTGTTCATGAGGATGAAGAGCATGAGCTGAATTGCAATTTGAGACAACTTTGGATCCGGTTCTTACTCCACTGCAGCCTTGAAGAGTGATGTTCTTGAAAATCTCCACAGACGTTAGTCAGAGTTCAATACGGTGTCATATTGATCAATTACAACACTACATTATCTGGGATATAGAATAATAATGAAGATTATTCATCATTAAGGCTGTATTGGATTTAGCACATCAAAAATGAATTCAAATCTCAAATTAGTTTCCCTGCTCGTCAACTCAAGGTCTAACTTTTTATGAGGGTGAAATTATATTTGAGATAAATTGTGAAAGACATTTGGAGAAAGTTCTAAAACTGAACACTGACTCGAGCCAAGTTTTTTTTTGTACGCCTGCTTTTTTGTTTGTGGAAAAACCCGACAGTATAAATAAAAAAAGAGACATGCTTGCAGGTACAGAACTTATAGCGATGTGCCAGACCGAAATAGCTTGAATTATTGCATTTGTGAAGAAAGTTAGATCAGATTTGAGAGTAAAACATTAAAAGTTAGTTATAAAACTTATAAAAGTGTGTCTGCAACAGTTCAAGAGTAAACTTAATAATTTGGCTGCTCTGTCAAGATGGTAGCATCATTTTTGGATTGCCAAGATAATGCCCTATTATCCTGTTTTTGTCCTAGAATTATTGAAGATGTCAAGAAATCTTAAATCATAACTGACTTGTGAGGGAGTATTGTTTTAAAATTTCATATTTTGATGTGGTCAAAACCTTAGATAAAAAAATCTATTTATTTTGTTTGATTAAGAAGTTAAATGTTTGTAACAGGGCATTAGCATGATAGAAGAACGGACGATCCACTTGCTCAGACTTCAGGTGCTTTTGGACACGCACAGCATGGATGCCACATCATGGCCAAATGCTGCATGTGTCTGTCCATGTGCAAGCATGTGTGTCGTCCATGGTTGTCCAGGGAGGTAGTCGGCCTTTGCCAGGACATCTGCTACCTGTCACAACACTTTTGTGTATGTGTGTGTGCGTGAGCTCTTAATTTAGTGTGCCTCGCCTGGTTCTGCCCACCCATCAGGTACCTGGTTAGACCTTTAGTCGGAGCTGTAACAGAACATCAGTGAGGGCCATGTAGGTGTTGAATGCAAGGCGTGTGTCAGGCTTGTGTCCCAGCATGACGGTGGGAAGTCCTTGCAGAGGAAGAAGGGGGGGCACTCTCTCTGCTCACAGGTTGTTGGATTTTGGATCCTGTCCAAGAGAGAAAGAAGAGGTGATGACGAGAGTAGAAACAGCACTGCTGGCCTCAGGATGAGCCTGCCTGACTGCTGACCTTTGTACCTTTAGCACATACTGTATAACCCATGGCTGGATCTCGCCTGATTAATTATCTTGACACACTGTTAGCGAGGGATTATGGCTTTTTTTCCACACACACATATTTACAATGGATGTCAGGGGTTGATGATTTGAAGATAATTACAGTGTATTTATTTTCTCCCTGCTCTTCCCTCTGTGTCTCCCTCCAACTCCCGCCCCTCCAGATTGTGAAGCCAAGCCTCTAGCAGTGTAGTGCTGAAGGTGTGTTTGTGCTGTTATGCCCTCTGGCTTGGCTGCCAGCTTACTCTCACTGATCTGAGCCAGAAGGCAGACTGCCGAGGAATACCGATCACCTTGCCCAGACCGAATCCTTTGAGCTCTCTCTGGCATCTTTCCCCCTTCTGCCAGTTTCCTCCTCTGCTCCTCTCTTCCCCCTTCTGAAGTTGACAACAAAGACATCCTCGGGGTCCTCCTTGATGTGAGACCCACTCTTGATCTTTTTCCCTATGTTTTTGTACCTTATAGTTGCACTACTTTCATATTCCGCTAGCACAATATTTACACACCAGAAGACAAAGAAACAGGGGTCTCTTCATGTAGGAGCCCCTGCCAACATGTTAATCACCTGAAGACCTGCAGTGGTCATGTTGGCCCAGGCGGAGGCGGGACATTAGTCAAGACAACGCTGCCCCTCATTGGGTATTTGACCAGAGCCTGAAGACATTTTGCATCTATCTATCTATCTATCTATCTATCTATCTATCTATCTATCTATCTATCTATCTATCTATCTATCTATCTATCTAATCTAAAGACCCACTCCTCCACACACATCCAGTCCTCCCCTCTCTTTGCCCCTCCTCGCCCTTCAAGCTCCCCCTTAACACCCCCACCAACCCCACCCCACAACCCCCTGCTTCCACGAAGAGAAATCTCTGAAGAGCTAATTAGTGGTGGAATGGAGTCCAGGAACAGCCAACGGAGCTGAAGAAGGGAGATTGGCGCTGGTGCTAGCTTTATCGGTCAGGGCCTGACAGAGGGGTGACAGTGAGTGGAGGCAAACCGCCGGCTCACAACTGACAGAGACAATAAAGTGAGCCTCTGAGCCTGGGAGAAACAGAGTGACAGACAGGCCGGCAAAGCAGAGAGAGAAAAAAAAGCTGGCTTCTGGAGGCTGTCCTGTGGTCGAGGCAAGCTGCACAATCCCATACAAGTACCCCTGTCCCTGCCAAACCTTGTGCCTGTTGACCATCCCATCTGAAAACGTAGGGGGTCATAAGGTAAATCATCAAATTTTGAATAAGTGGATTTCTACGCTCTAATTGTGACACTAAAGTTGAACAAAAGTATTCAGCTACAGTTGGAGTCTGATGCTTAATGATTTTTATTTTTTATGTATTTTTTACTCCACTCTATATGATTTTAATACTGTTGTGGTAATGTTTTTAATTGGTTTAACACTTTTCAGTTAATTATCCTCATGAGCAAAGAAGGACTGCTTGTGCTGAGGCAATTATTCTGGTATTGTTTTGTGTTTTATTAGTGTATTAATAAAGTGAATGCAAATTAAAACATTATTTCAACAAATGTTTGGTTGTTTCTGTTAAATATTTCTGTACTGCAGTTGCTTTTATTGATAACATTAATATAGTAGGCTAGTTCTTTTGAAATCATTTGCACTGAGCGCACAATTTGCACCAACCTGGGCCCTATCAGCAGGGATGATAACAGTGCCATCAAGCCCTCTATTTTACTCCGGACTTAAAATGTGTTTACGTTTTGAGTTAAATAGGACATGTTCAAGCACAGCAACATAGGAGACTAAAGAGGAAAACAAGAAGTCATTAATGGTAGAAAGAGAAACAGTGGTCTATTACCTGGTCTTTCATCTGTTCACCTCTCAGGACAGGGACAGGCGTCTTGCAGCAGTGTTGGTTTTATACAGAAAAACAGGGATGAATGAGATGAAGCCCTGGCCCCAGACATACCGGTAAATGACGATTAAGTTTTTGTATATAATTCTTGGGGCAGACACATTCAGCGAGAGTCACTCCACAATATGAGGAGGAAATGCCGATCTCGACCACAGTCCTCGTTTGTTGAATTAAGGCAGGTGAACCAGTATGTAGCTTCCATATGACGCAGAAAACTCTTCTTATTTATCTATTTATATCATTTTTTACTATATCTTCTTCGTTTTTTTATTTGATATTCCTTCCTCAACACCCGATGTTCGTATTTCAGTACGACGTTGAATTAGTTGTAAATAAAGTTATTTATAGAAAAAACGCTCTGGCCTGGATATGCCTAAAAATGCTGCGTTCGAGTTACCTCGGAAGTCAGAAGTCCGAGCCGAAAATGACGTCACACCCGAGTTGCGAGCGTTTCAGTTATCATGTCGGAAAATAGCAAAACAAGATGGCTATATCTACGAAAGTTATTTTAGTTATTAGTAGTTAGTTATTAAAAGTTATTTTGCATTGTCCGAATATGAATGAAACGCTAAAATAACTTTCGTAGATATAGCTATCTTGTTTCAGGCCTCCGATTTCGCTTTTTCCGACATGGTAACTGAAACGCACGTAACTCGGGTGTGACATCATTTTCGGCTCCGACCTCTGACTTCCGCAGTAACTCGAACGCAACATAAAATTGGCGGTAATGCACGGATAAGATGGCTGCCAACCGCAGTTAAACACGAAGAAGAAGAAGAAGTTATGCCGAAAAACGCGGCTATTTTAAAAGGTTCGAGGACAAGCGGTGGATTTTAGAGGACGTACAGGGTTGTCTGCACTGCCACGGGAAGCTTCAGAGCTATATTTAGGCCTCTAAAGGTAAATACACACCTTATTTAGTTACTTAAGCACAAAACAAACTGGTTGCTGACTGCGTTTTCATGCTAGCTGTACTTTTGTGTGGAGAGTTAGCATACATACCCCACACCTGTGGTGTTAAAGCTACAGGTTATTTACAGGTGGTCCCTTTTTAGTGTTTCCTCCACTAAACCGGACTGACATTTATCAATATTGATATTTTAAATTGTCTGTGTTGCGAACGCCTTTTATACAATCTATGAAAGAAATGAAATAGATAGCTAACTTTAACATTAAAGTCTAATGATGCCTCTACCTCTAACTGCATAGGCTAGCTTTGGTAAATGTAGTATTTTAATTTTTAGGAAGATGTGAGCTTCGAGCAATGCTATATATACATATTATCCCATATTTGTCAATATGTCTGTCTGTAAACTATTCTAATTCATCACTAGTATTGAAAAATGTTAATTTTACTGTGTTGCTCAAGTTTTAATAGTTCAGGGCCAAAAGTAAAAAAAAAAAACAGTAATGATTGTATCAGTGATGACAGGTATATTACAGAATTTAACATATAATTTTGAAAATTTAACACATTTAGTTTAACCCAATTTGAACAAGAATATGAGCAAATTGAATTTACCAATAATATAAATCACCTGTTATTGTTTGTCACATTTGTCTTAATGTTCAATCCTAGCCCATAATAAACAGGACTTAAAATTTGTCAGAAATAGTAAGGAAACTTTTTGAAGTTTTACACACACCTCGTTGTTGCCAAAATTTAGCGAAGATTATGTGAAGCATTCAGTCACTGTTTTGAGGCATACAAACTGCTAAAAAGAGGTGTTTTAGCTCACTAAGGAAATTGTCTTATGTGTTTGTTAGCGAAAGACGAAAATAAACTCTCCTTGGACCCTGAGTGGAATATATATTTCCTGTGACATCGACAGTCTGTTGATCAAGCAACCAACATCTCCTGGAGTTACACTCTTCCTACTCGTGAGTACCAAATAGTCAATCTTTGACAGTGTGCATCAGTGAAATCATTTGGACATGTCATGTTAGGGTAAGAATTGGGTGTGTCGGCCACTGTAAGTTAATTTGTGTGTATAAAGGTATAGATTCAGTGGGGTTAACCATGCAAATATATGTATACTACCTCTGAGAAATACAAATTAATCCTCCAAATATTTTGGCCTGCAATCAAAAAGTATGGATCATTTGTTTTGTTTTAACGTTGTTCATATAGTTAGGCTAGTGATGAATGCAAACAGTATTTTCGATCTGAAATTCTACGTAGGATCTCAATTTGTTCCCACCAGATTCAGAATATGATATTATTCTGAACAGCAGTTGTATATCAAAAAATGATCTTGTGAGTTAGTAGTGCACATCAAAACAAATAATTTTAATAATGTTTGCTGCACTAAACCTTTACCAACATAAACTTAAGAATGAAGAATGGTCAGAGAAGTGGCATTATGCTTTTATACGAATCATTTATTTACTTAGTCAAGTCAATTCAATCAGAATGCCTGCAAGCTACCTAGATAGCAAACAGGGATAATTAGCATCACTGGGAGAGGTGGCGTCTCCTTGCACTCTGGCCTCCACTTTCTTTTATCTGTTGAAGAGGTGAGGTGGTGGAGGAGCTAAATATTGATGAAGTTGCACACAGTCAGAGATACTCCAACACGCAGTCCAGTTTTATATGGGTATGTTGTAAGGCTGGGCTTTCTTGTCATATCAACTAAAGATGCCAAACAATGATTTAAATATTTCCTCTTTAGTCACTGAATGCTCAATTTGTAAATACATTCACATTGTCAAAGTCTTTATTTTGTCATATCTTGAATTGCTTTGGAAGAAGTAGAAAAGAGTTGAATTTACTATGTCGTGCTACAAGGGAGGTACAATTTTTTAACGAAGTCATTGGAACTGAGTTGCTCCAACAACTCTCTCAACTTTGGTATAATTTCTTAAAGACATAGCAACACCTTGAGGGTAATCTTGTTTAACTGCAGCAACTGTGTCTGTCAGCCAGTAGAACAAACTAGATGTTGGCCTAGAGGGCAAAAGCCATGGCCGCCTTCGTAACTGACAAATAATTTTCAGCATGTGATCTTTCAGTATGTTTCATTTAAGCTTGAATTGTCTGCCTCAGCTCTTTGTCTTTTCATGCACCCCTGACTTGCTTGTGTTTGTATAGATGTGTAGTCGTGGTAATTTAGAAATATAATATCAAATAGTAGGTCTTTGCTAACTGAAGGATAAGGGTGAAACGGCCCATTCTTGACAACCTCTCTTTTGTCTCTTTTGGCAGTGAGTGAAAATCAGTGCACAGTATTTTACTAGTGAAAGTAGTGTGTTGTTGGAGGGGTTTGTCTTACTAGGTTGATAATATATTTGCTTTCTCAACAAGAGTCAGGATAACCCTTCTAGTTTAGCACTGGATTTGTGTTCCTCTGTAGGCATTTTATACAAGCTAATTAGTTTTCACATTCCGACTCTTTCCCCCTCTTTTAATCATGAGTATTACTCTTATGTCTACTGAGGTTTACACCAGGGATTGATGCAGACATCCATTGTGTGTTCAGATACACCACCTCTGGGGTGTCTCCTCTGAAGACTGGTGGCATAGTGGCATAAATCTTGTTTTCACTGGATGTACCGATAAAACAGTGACTAAGGATATATAATTATCGTTCCACATAATCCACCCCCAAAGACACTTGTGACAAGATTAACTTATACAGTTTCTAGAGTACTGTGCTGGTATACTGTAGAGCTATGAAAAAGAAGTGTGAGTCTTTATTTTTTTTCTGAGAAACTTGGTTTTGTTATCTGCTCTAATTGAAGTTTTATATCTGCTGCTGCACCTGAGTACTGTAAACTTGCAAAGTATATAGAAATAATTTGAAAACAAGCTGATCTGGCATTTAAGTCAGTTTGAAATGCTGTACAGAGCTATTTTAATGTAAAAAAAACAACAACAAAAACAAATGAGCTTCATTCTGATGCCCTATAATCTTGGTATGTGATGATGTAGGTGGCTGTAAACAAAGCAGGAATAATTCAAAACATTTTGAAAGAAGTCAGCTGAAAAGGATTTATTGTCAGGATATCTTCTTCATGTAGGCCATGAAAATCTGAATAATGTTGTGTCTAAATGTCCATTACTATTTGCTCATCCTTCTCCCCGATCAGACTTAGATGTCTTCAGAGTTCGGTTGTTACACTTGACAGTTTCATGTACTGCCAATAATCAACACTGTCAGTGTCAACCCAAATCTGCTCTGCTATTTTGGTACAGGGATAGTTTTTCAAATTGTTTTTACTTTCATCGCTTGTTTGCTTTGTGTGTGATGTATATGAGTAAATTGTCAGTTGATTTTACACATCATAGTGTTTGAGTTAAGATGAGTTGTGAATAATGCATGGCTAGGATACAGCTTGGTATTAGATGTTACTGAGATGCTTCTTGCATTGCTGCTACAGTATGTCATGTGGAAGCCTGCATTCACTTGATGCATAGTGTCTGTTCTAACGTATGTCCTTTCTCATTGAGCCGCAGTATTCTCAAGGGTAATGCCTAGTAGACCCCAAGGCGTTTCTAAAGGCACCCAGAGCAGTAATATTGATCAGAGAATGTCTCCTGAGGACTAGAGGTCATTTGACTTGATGATTTATATTTACCTCTATCTGGATTATCACTGATTGTGTCTGAAAATACCAAAAAAGAAAAATACAGCAGAAGTAAATAGACAAACAGGAAGACTGTTTGTCTTCTGAACAAGAATTAGTTGTTGTCTGAACTGGAACAACTGGCAAATGATGTTCAGACCTTTTATTTAGCCTTCTTGGGGATGGAACTGTCCCATTTTTTGTGCCGTAGTTCTGCCCAAGACATTCTGTGTATACCCAGGGGTGTGCTGAATAATTAATGGTGCCCTAATGACAACCGTAGTCCTAGTTATAAGAACGACCTTAAAAACATTGATCCTTTTTTGATGTTGCATATCACTTTGAACTGTAAATCCATTTACATTTGACCCTTGCAGACTGATCAAGAGCCAGTGATAGAGATGAAAATCCAAACAAGTGACAGTCTATTCCAGTTAGGGCTCTTTCACTGACTTCTGGTATTTGTAGTTACAATTCTTATTGTTGTTTTTGTTTAAAAAGACTACATATAACTAGGGGTGCACCTATCCGATATTTGGATCGGATATCGGCTCCGATATTGGCAAATTAACTGGATTGGATATCTGATGAATGACGCCGATCCAGCGTTCTGATCCAGTCTTTTTTTTTTTCTTTAAATTAATTTTTCTTTTAAGTAACATATCTGTATTAATTTTTACCTTTTTTTTTTTTTTTTTTTTTTGTAACAAGGCTAATGTCAAGCCTGATGCCTTCACTCACATCTCTACTCATAACACAAAATGGTTGATGGTCCTTGACCCTGAAGGTCATGCTCAGTAACAGGATGGAGACGAAAGCGATGCTGTAGGGAAAGTCAAGAAAGAGGAATCC